CTTGCATTTTTGGATTTAGCTTGGTCTAAAATGCTGACAGTTTCCCAGTTAAAACTATGGTTGAGTCTGTCCATGAGGACTACCTGTACATATATCAGCCCTTCAAGTTAGAATAGGTCAAGAAACAGACATCACAGTGATGACAAGAATGCTACTTTGTTGTAGGATGTTGTAACAGAATCTTAAAAGTGTGTCCAAGTTTCTCTCTGTCCCATTTCATACTAAACAAAAACAAGGTGGGGCTATTTTGAGTTTCTTTCTTACTTCAATCTCTGTATAATCTTTGAACCTCCTTAATGGTTCTTTCATATCTTCCCCATGTCTAAATTCCCTTACTACCTGCTCGTAACTATCACTGTGTTGGAAGAGTAGAGAGAATATGGAAGTTTATATGACAGAATAACCACATATAAAGCTAAGCATCCCTGGTCACAACTTGCCTTTTGGTGCGGCTGGGATACAGTGGCTTTCTTTCAGACCTCCTGTACCACCAGCCTTCTCATTGGCAAAGCCCCTTGATCTCCCTATGAAAACAAAGCAGGGCTTGAGGATGCTGTTCAGATTATTTATAGTCACTAAGGGCTCTTCCTCATCTCTGCATTAACATGCATTCTTCCAGTCCTTAAAAGAAAATTATGCCAAGATAAATTGTGCCATTTTAATGGCCAAGCTCTAATCTGCCTCAGTAATGAGGCTGGTGACTGATGCTGTACTTACAAACTTCATGCAGGACAAACTCAGGAAAGTAATTGTGGATAGCTCTGGCTTCATTTCCTTTCCACCAAACATCACCAGCCACCTTAAGGAGGGATGGGGAGGAGGAGAAGGCAAGTTCTGACAGATGGTTAGACCATTAAGTTTAGCTATCCGTCAAAACTTGCTCAGGTGTTGCTGAAAGGTTTTGCATGGATGTGGTCAAAAGGGACCCATTAGCTAATAGCAAGGCTTTGTGTTGTTCCAGAATAGCACTATTCTGGAAAATGGCATTATTCTAGAACAGTGCTAAACCATTTCAAAGAGTCTGGAAAACATTTAAGAGCCCAGGCTGAAGTTGCTCAATACAGTGACCAAACTCCCTTCCACACCACTTTTGCATGCCTTATTGATAATGATACAAAGTCATAGGGAAATATTCCTGGAAACACTTAACTACTGCTATCTATTTATATATTTATATTTATATTCAAAGAGACAATTGAAAATATTTATATTCAGAGAGACAGAGAGTTGAAAATGTACAAAGGGGCCTTCTCAAGGGGCTTTCAAATATTTTTTAAATATGTTATGGGTGGGGTGAGCTAGGTAAATATTTTAAATAAGTAAAAAAATAATCATTTCATGTGTATTTTAATTTTTAGGAAACTGATTTCCTTTGTCTTGATGGTGGGGAATATGTTTTTGAAAATGAAGACAGCATATTTAATCATCATACTGAAGAAAATGAGTATGTATCTCTTTACCCAGATGGTAAAGACTCAGACTTTAACATGCCTGAGGATGAGATCATGAAGCTCCCAGATACTTCTATCCCAACAGAATATAAAGGATCATTTAGTGACAGTAATAAAGGGGACCACAAAGCTGAAGACCTGCATTCTCTGGAAACTCTGCATCATGGTGACTCAGAACTCAGACATAGCAAGACTGATCAAGATGAGTCTAGCCAGCAAGAAGACCCCATCACCCAGGCTCTGAATCCAGTCCCAACTCAGTCGACCTGGACCGTTTCTGGTACAGCAGGTTGGCTTGGTTTGGGAAGTGAAGAAAATAAGAAGGCTGTTGGACAATCCTCACAGATTTCAGAACAAATTACATTTAGACGTAGAAAAATAGCAATAGCAGACAGTGCTGATTTAAAAAAACAATCTGAAGAGAGTGAAGAGGAGCCACATAGCTGGTTTCAGAGCACTTTGACAGGTTTACTCCATTTTGGAAATGAAAAATCAGGACTTAGTTTGCTGTACAAAGACAGCGATCCAGGTATCCATAGCAGCTCCAACACTGCTAGTAGTACTGGCCACCAGGGCAGAACTGCAGCTTCTGAAGCAAGAAAAGATAGGCATAGTGATTCTGAACTATCTAAATCAAATTGGTTTGATCTGAAGTTAAATGATATTTTAACTTTTGGGTACACTAAAAAAAACAAAGAACAGCTTGCAAATGGAGAAGTAGATCAAAATGAAGACCCGCTGCCTCCTAATATGCAATCAGTATCAGTGGATGATGGTTTGAAAGAAGCAGCAGTGGAACAAATGCTCTATGACGAACAAGGCAAATATCTTAAAACAAACATAGAGCAAACAACTGAATCAGTAGTAGATGAAGAACAACAGAAAGAAAAATATGAAGCAATTACCAGCCCAGATATTACAGATACTGAAGTTCTTCCAGGAAATGAACATTCTGATTTCAAGAATGCAGAAGCTTCATCTTTTTCCATTCAGCTTGCTGAAAAGCTAAAGTCATCCAATACAGAACAAGATTCAGTATCAGGCAACCAAATCATCGAAAATACTCAAGAGTCAGAAAGAATAAAAAGCCAGTCAGGTTTGTATGAAAGCATATATAATAGTATAATTGATTTTAATAAGGTCACATCAGATAATGGACTAGGGCGTGAATCTCCAGCTGTTCAGAGCTCAATTGTAGATCAGCTTCCATCTTCACACAGTATAGATAATTTTGTTCCAACAGATATTCCAGTTACAGGAGAAGAAAATCAGAAAGGCTCTAAAAAGCTCCAGTCTTTCTTCTCTATTAGGTATTTTACAAATATACTGAATTTTCAGGGTTTTAGAGCTGAAGAAAATGCAAATACTTTGGAGATAGATCTAAAGTCTAATGAGGACAACATACAACCTAAAAGTAGTGATGCAACATTATCCATAGATAAAGAAAATAAAAAACAGTTGTTACTAAATCAGAATATTATTGAAAAGGAATTAGAAAACCAGTATACTGATACTTCTCAGGAAAACATTCTGTTGTCTTCTTCAGCAGCAAAAGCTAGCGAAAAAATAATAGAAAAAAGCATTCTAGATGGTGAATTAGTAAAAGTTAATAAACAACAGCTTCAATTAGCAAATTCTAAGTTAAAATCTTGTCTTTCCTATCAATGTATACAAATAACTAATTATGCAAAACATGAGGATCAGACATGGAAGGGTTTGGAAATACAGGGACACTTTGATCCAGAAGATAAAAATATTGTTTACGTTCTAGAAGCCAAGAAACAGTCTCTTCTAGAGGTAGAAAATGTAGCTGATTCACCACCAGAGCAACAGGAATTTCCTCATGGAGACATTTATTCTTATGAAGAATCTGTTGTAATGAAACAAAAAAAGGATGCTGGGAAAATAGCTGGACCAGATAAAATTGAACAAGTAGAAAATTCACTTTTGCAGGCCTCAGAAACTTCTGTAGAGAGAATATCAAAAAAAATGTCTGAAAGTATACAAGAAAATGATAAAAGTAGTCTGGAAACACATGAAAAACTGTTTTTCAAAGAGCTAGAAGAACCCTTAAGGGATTTTTCACAGGGCAAGGATATTCCAGATGACAATGAAATACCTATTGCTATATTAGACAACGGTAAATTAGTTATACAAGGGGGAAGAAAAGAAACTTTATTAGAAAGAAGACTTGTAATAGAAAAGGGTGGAATAAAAGAGACAAATAGGGAGCAAGAAGCCAAAAATACTGAGGTAGATTCTAATGAATACTCCTCCAATGATGCTATAGATATTAAAGCAAGCTATCTGCATAATCAAAAAGAAGAGGAAGGAATTGCTGAGGATGCAAGGAAGGTAGCTCATTCCCCATTTTCTATTCATTTTTCTCAAGATTCAGTCATACATTCTAAAGAAAAGTACAGCGAAACTGAAGAGCTCCAGTCTCTTTCTTCCTTTAGCCATTATAAAGATCTATTTAGTGTTCAAAGCTTTCCTGACAAATCCAAAAATTCTTTGCAAGAAATTAAAAGAACCAAGGTTGAAAATAGCCAGCCTAAAAGTAGTGTTGAATCACTACAGAAAAACAAAGAAATAGAAGAGAAAAGTATGTTACATCAGAAAACAGCAAAGGAAGCAAATCTGAAGGAAGATATTTTCAACAAAGATATTTTTTTATTTTCATCAGCAAGGCAAAACAATGCAGACAATCCAAATGTAACAAAAGATGCTGAGTTATCAGAAACAATTTTTATTTCATCTGAATTATATTTTTCAGAATGTATAATAGATCCTTTATTCCAGGATCAAAAAGCATGTGAAAAAAACATTGACAAGCCACACAAAACATCAGAATTACACCTTAATCTGCAAAGGTCAACACAACAGTACAAATCTATGAAGAGAGTTTCCATATCTAGAAAACAATACATAAATGAAATTAAACATTTAGACCTAAAAGCTTTGGATGAAAGTACACCTATCATATGTTACACTGATGTTATGAAGAAAATTGAGCATTCAGATCAATTGGCCTCTTTGCAACTGCATTCAGAAAAACATATAAACAACAATATACAAGAAAATGTTATAGATTTTTGTAAAGAAAATGAATTTCTTGGTGTGAAGAATGCAGCAAGCATGTCACCTGGTAGCATGAAAATTTTTCCAGTAAGTTATAATGAAGACTATCAGCTGAACAAAAGTATAATAACTAAAGAAGGCATGAATCAGTTTTCTCAAGAAAGAGCAAAAGTACAAATGCATGTTTCAAAACAAATTTCAGAATCTAATGACAGTCAACAAGATTCCAAAAAGATACGAACAACTGAAAAATATCCAGATATATTAAAGCAGCAAGGGCTATCTCCATTCACTGCAGGTCAAGAACTGCCTCAACGTGAGGAAGAATTTAATGGGCAGGTCAATCATAAATTGAATTTTGTCACACACAGTGTGCAAAAGAAATGCTTTCAGGATCCACAAATGCAGATAGGTGAAAAAAGCAATGAAGTAAACAGTTCAGGAACAATAGAAGAATATTCTGATAATGCTCAAAGTTGTGATTTTTCTTCAGTAGCAAAAACTAATGATGGTCATGCTCCCAAAGAACAAACTATCTCACATTATCCTAATTCTCATACTTTTTCTAAGAAAAGTATGCATTTACCACACATGTCTGAAAGTTTAGCATATCCAAAAGAAGATAAACAAGAATTAAAAAGTGAACAAAAGGTTTTAGCTTCTCATGTTGATCAATCAGATAACGAGAATAGTATATCGAGTACAAGGCCTGATAAAAAACATATAAGTCAGGAAGAATATGCCACAAAAACATACTTAGCACCTAATTTAGAAGGGGAGGAGTTTAGAAATTTAGTTCAGAATAGAAAAAAAGATGGCATTTTACATACTGAAGATACTGAACCTGAATTTCAGCAAGAAATAGTACCACTAAAGTTATCTGCAGTAGCATCTCAGAAAAAAACTAATAATAATTTACTTCTTAAGAAACATGGTCTAGCAGATATTTCTGCCAGTGAAGATCAAGAATCAGAATCTGTTTTCCAGAAAGCAGTTCAAAATGGTAAATTGATAACTGATACAGGCTTAGATTTGAAAGATGCCAGTTTCTCCAGAAGATTCCAGGAATTTAATTTAAAGCTAGTTGAGGAATCAGAAAAGATTCTTCAAGCAAATATGTGTGATAGTTATGAATTGCAGCAACTGCATCAAGAGTTTGAAAAGCTTCAGTACAACACCTCCATTTCTCCACGTGAAGATATTTACAAGGAAAGGAAACAAGTAATCACTTTGGTGGAGCATGAACATAAATTAAATATTGGGCATGAGAAATGTATGAAGACTATAATGCATTTACTGCCAGAAGTACAAGAACTTATGTGGGACGTCAGAAACAACTGTGGAGTCCAAAAGGCAGAATCAGGTACTAGACTACTGTTTTGGTAATAAAAGTAGATAAATCAAAAATCCCACAAAGTTTTGCTTTTAAAGAAAGCAAATAGCCTCTGTGGTGATTTTTTTAGGTAGAATGCAACAAGAAATTGATGGCTCTTTCACACTGACAGAACTTCAGGATACTACCCCACTCGTAAGTCTAATTTGTTTGAAGCAACATGATTTAAAACAAAAAACAAATGGATGTTTTCAATCATTTGAAAAATTGTAATATTTCCACAACATAAGCATAATCTCAACAGATATATTATTTATACATGACAGACTATTAAATGCATTGTAGTTGCTTAATCATTTGGAATTTTAATTATATATTAGCAGATTAGATAGGAACACTACACTTAATTCTTCTCCATTAGTCTAGAAATCTGGATTCTAATATATTTCCTGCCATCATAATAAATTGAAGATAAAAACACTTACAAATGTGAATAATTCAAACTGAATGCTCTAGAATAATTTCCACAATTCTGAAAATCCTTATTTTAATTAACATTTCTTTTCTTTTCTTTTTGGTAATAAGGAATATTCAGCATATCATATTCATAAATCTGATAGCTATTGTTCATTACACTTAAAAAAGAAATTGTCCCTATTTTTAGGATCTTCAAAATGCCTTTATAGTGATAATGGCTTGGACTCATGCTTTGTTTGTATGGATTTTATATCCCTTCCCTATTGATGCAGTCCCCAAGGACCGTCACTCAAAAACCAGTTCTGAGTCTGCAGGATCCTTGGGAATGATATCATTTTTATATGCGCTTGTTGGTCATTACTGAGGAAAAAACTAGGTGTTATCTGGGTTCAAATATTGTGCTATAAATATTGTTAAATAAATACATAAATAAACCCAAATGTGATTTGCTTGTGCTGGGTGGAGCATAATGTGTGGATCCAGCCATTTAGTTTGTAAATGATGGTTTATGGTTTAACATATTGTACAAGCCCAACTATGGTTATATATTATGATTAATAATATATAATTGTCATAGTACAATCTGTGAATCCAGATTCATAGCAAACTTAATTAGCCAACATTGCTTTTATAACGGGGTAATGGGAAATGAAAAAATAGTTAACTGGAGGATCAATTGGCAAATGGAAAGCAGTACTTAATCTATCCCATGCTTGTTGATTCCTACCCCCAAAGGATAACAGATACTTTTAAGTGTAGGTGTATGGTTGCAGTTCAGTTTGTTGAAGTTTAAATGGATATGTCATACTTTACAGCACATCCAATAAATATTCAATGAGAAGTACCTCTGTACCCAGGTAAATGGATATATGACTGCTGCTTTCGTATATAATTTTAGCAGTTTAACATCAGTTTTAATAATAAGAATTTCATTTTTCTAAATTATTTTCTTGTTAGTTTTAAGACAGAAAACTGTGGAATAGGAGAACCCATATTTTTTAAAGATGTAAGATAATGATATAGAAACACAACCTGCTAAAATTTCACACAAATAAAAATAAAATGTATAATTTGTAATTATTTGCAGGTAATGGAAAATTACCTGGCAAAGCTCTCAAAGAAAAACACCCTTTGAATTCAAATAAGGAGCCTAATAATGATCAGTATTCAGAAAAAAATATGCCTCCCACAAATACTAAGGAGAAACTAAATACTTCAGGAAAAAATGGTCTAAATCAACAGGATGTCAAAGAAAAAGTACAAGGGAACAATTTAATGAACCAAAGTTGTACCACTGGTAATGGTAAGCAACACTTAATCTAAATATTAAAAGACCAGATTTTAAAGCATATTTGATCCATAAAGAAGATCATCAGTAACAACTATTCTCTCTTTTTCTTGTATATGAAACAGAAAGCAAATGGCTACTTCAGATAATCCTGCATTTGAATGAATTCTGTGCTGTTATAACTTCTGTTTTTTCATCTATGGTATCTATGAGTAAGAAGGTGAGTTTCTTTAATCTGAGTTTCAACTTTCTCATGCTAATCATAAAAAAATGTAGTATGGCTACCATATCTGGGATGGAAAAATCTGGACAATCAATAGAGAGCAGCAAAGACACACATAACATTCTGGCTCTCTATTGTATTGCTCTCTCATGGTTGTCCAGATTTTTGCAGTTTTTAAAAATATTTCTTTGGCATTTAAAGTGTTTCATCTAATGCCTTTTAAGCTTATATTTTCTAGATAAGTTAAAGACAGATGTAGTGTGTCTTATGGACCTGAACCAAAGTTCAAATTACGATTAACAAATTCCACTTTAACTAGGTTAAATGTAAATTAACATTTCCTGGGTAGCTTTTAGTGTTTGGTATCAGAAGGCAAGATTAATCTTAAACCTTTCTTCTGCCTCCAAAAGCAGAGGCAACCTCATTTTGCACTGCATTTCTACTACCATTTTTTCCCACTCACATCCATGTCAAACAGACAAAAGGGATGGGGAAAGCTTAGTCCTATTTTATAATCCATCGCTTTTGCTTCTCAAAAGTACCATAAGTCACTTCTCATATCGGAGGCATCAAGCTGGGAGAAGTGGCAAAGTCAGAACAACTTGCCAGGAAATCCAAATGCTACCCTTAAACCTTATCCCAAATACTGGACAGGAGTAGTTAGAGGTTCAACTTATAGATCTAAGCAGTGACTATAATAGCATTATGAGAATGCCATTGATGTTTGGTAAAAGGAGCCTCCAATGCATATCTCTAAAGCCAATTTAAATGTGACTATGACACTTTGAAAGCAATATTTACCTATGAAGATGGTCTGTGTTTAGATAATGCTTATCTCCCATACGAATGCATGGTTGTACACTAGAACAACATGGTTTATGCTAGCTGTTTACCTACATTTATTTGCAACCTTAGGTTTTAGCAAAATTGTTTATGCTAGCTAGCATTGGATACATACAGGTGAGTGTATGGGATAAGAATCTTTTATATATCACACCAGCATATGTTGCAATTATGTAACAAAACATTTTTGTTATGATTGCTATTAAAATGTATTTTCAGTCTTTCATGCTTAATTCTTGTTAGGTTTTGGATAAACATTGGGAACTGCTAGCACTGCATGACAGCTGGAGATTATATCCCTCATGCATTTGACTTTCTCAACTCATCTTTGTAGGTAGTGATAAATTTGTTGGATGATGCAACCTGACATCCTTGTTCAATGCTTGTTTCACTAAGTAACTGTTTAACTGTGGTTTCTTGAATAAAATACTGTACTGTTAGCTGGACATACACATCATTCTAAGCTACCATCAGACAAGTCACATTACAATTTAGAATACTGTGAGTACCCAAAATCTTGCTAGGGCAACATCTCTCAAGGCACTTCCATGCAGCCATCATATTCACTCCCCAAACCCTGAGAATCATTTTCAAATTGACTCATATTTGTAATAATCAGTATCTTGAAAATTTGGAGAAATCTCCAGATGAGATGACCACCACTCTTTCAGTATCACTCCCCAGTCCTTGTCCCTAGTTCATGCTGTGTTTTGTTTCCTCTCTGTCCAATCTAAAAAGACTATGCAAGGATAGCATGGCCTAGCAACTATGGAGAAAGTGGACAGACCAGGAAGTGAGAGTTCCTGACACTGGAAACAACCAGCTCCCAAATTTCAGCTGCAAAACTAAATTCACAGCAATTCCTTTGTTCCACAACAAAGTCAGAAAAAATATTCAATGCAGATGATGGCTTATGATCACATGGGCACAGAGCTTGTCTATATGCCACATAAATACTATGTTTGAAAGTCCCCCCAAGTTTTATTAAAAATATTGTCAGGATCAAACAAAACAAGCAGTACTATAATAGCCTGCCCAAACTTCTTCGGATGACGAAGGAATACCCATATATAAATCTAATAATTCTGATGGACTTTGCAAAATGTATGAACTTAAACTGCCTGATGGAAATGAAAGGACTCAGAATTCTTTCAGGGGCAACATTTTTCCCTACACAGCCTCACCCCATGCTTCTTAAATAGTTTAACTTGGAAGTAAAATTCAAATCCAGTGGAATTTGGTTTTTAGTAGGTATGCTTAGGAATGAAATCTGCAAATTTGTAAAAAAGGAACAGACATGAAATTAGCATTGCCATGTAAGTGGAATATATGCATTATCATTGCAGACCAGCTTGTCTATTTCAAGAATTGTCAATTTGGTATTATCTATTTTTTACAACACTGTCATAAGTCTACACTTTTTAGTTTAAAGGTTGGGGAAGGGTGGTAGAACAGTGCTACCAAACCTCTCTGCTAATATCTTTTAAAATATTTGCTATAAATAAATAATTCTCTATTTTCCAATCACAGTATACTACAGTGGAAAACTAAAAGGTTGTTTGTCGTAAACCTCCCTTTTGCACCCCCTTGCGTTAACAGCATTAATGTCAGGGGTGGATCTCCTCTCTGTTTGGAAGCATACATATATTATCCAAGCTCTTACCATCTGGATCGGGAGCTTCTTACAAAACTAGAAATAATTTAATGCTTCTTATAGCATCTTATAGAGTTACACTTCCCGTTCCACAAATGGAAAAAAAGGTAAGTGATGCAGTTAAACTTTATAGTGGAAGATGAGATTTTGAATTTGTCTAAAAGATACCAACCTGTTCAACTGCCACATAGTCACTCTACTGGATGCTCTACTGTTGTTTATTTTCTTTCAATTTGTAAGTGGGAAGGAGGTTGCTTCAGTTAATGTTTTCTGTTATTTCTGTCTTATAATGTCAGAACATGAAGTTTTGGTTTCTTTCTTTGTGTGCGTAAACAAATATATACATAGACAAACACACATACATACATTTGTGACTAACACGCTGTGTTTGTGCTATGCATCTCAGTCCCCTTTTAGCATCAGTTTCACTAAGAATTTCCTGTCTTTTAATACGTATATCTCGTCCTTTCCTCTTCTTTGTTCAAGGAGCGAGACCAGCAATGTCAACCTTATGGATAATTTGCTTTGTAGGTGTCATATCATGAAAAATATAGTCGTCTTTGGATTTCCTTCTGTGCAGCTTTAGAGAGAATGTTTTTTATTGACTGATGTACCTTTACCATGTTTCTGACATCAGGCAAAAAGCCTTGACTTCTCTCAGGCTTTTTACTATATAGTACGTTAATCATAAGCTGTAGCATTTCAGTTTTATGTCCCTGCCTATCCTTTTATTTACATTACATTAATTAATTGCATATTAATTAGTTTTCATTTTTAAATGTTATTTTAGACTGTGTAAACCTCTGTGATATACCAAACTTAAAACAATTAAGTTATTTAAATTAAAATCTACCTACAGTACAGAGCACAAGTTCAAATGTTTACTGCCCTGTCTATGTATCCTGGTAGGTGAATATGACAGAAATGTAGAGCCTCAATCTATTCAGAAGGGGAGAGGTGTTGAATTTAAAAGTAAAACGCCAGATCTGAGATTTAATTTCCTTAGTGGAGTGAATGACATTGAGGCAGGAACTTGTTATACTTGTTGTTCTGTTATTATGCTTGGTTGTTGCTAACACACCTTGCTTGATTTACATTTAAACACCACTGATTAGTAATTAATCATAAGGATAAAAAGCAGAGCCATGTGTTTCAAAAAATAGCTGATACATATCTTATAAAAATAAAGTAGGTAGAATAAAATTATTTTTTTGCCAAATATAAAACATTTTCTTCCACGCAAGCAAAGCATATCCCAGTGGTGGATGTACTGTCCATATAGCCATAGTTATACAGCTGTATATAGCAGTAGTTATACTGTCACTTGAGAAAACAAATACTTTCAGAATAGCCCATATTTCAAAGCCAGAATGTTTAGTTGCTGGACATACAGTTTCACACCTGAATTCATCTCATAGTTGGCAGTTTTATCTATTTGGTCCCTGCCTCTTTTTATTAAAAGTTTACCCCTTTAGTCAAGATTTTATGCCAAAATGGCATGACTGTGTAGGCAGAGCATTAAAGACAATGGTGCATTTAAAGATGTCATCTTTGCATCATACTAAGAGTTTACGTCTAACTCTTCAGGTTAAAATGGGAGCATAAATTTGATCTAAAGACATGTTGACAGTCCTCTGTCACAAGTGGTCAAAAGGCCTTTACTCTGTTTTACAGTAACAGTATTCTTTTATTCTTTTTTATTAAACTTCAAAGATGTTACAATTAACATTTCTTTTAAAAATAATTTGAGATCTTATATGTAAACTAAATAACAATAACATTATGCTATTTTATAGCATTTTATATTATTTAACTACAGTATTATATAAAAAACTATATAGTTTCAAAAAGAAACCTACCCTATTAACTATATGGTAAAGAGATTTTAGATAACACAATAAACTGTTTTGTCTTTGGGGAGACTAGAATACATAACTACCCTGCAAGAACGTGTCAAGGACAGTTCAAAGTCTGCCTTGGCAGATGCAGCACGTGAGCGTGCCTAGCAGCAGTCCGTACCTTCGTTTATTGGCCGAGTACTGTATGGTCTTCATGGTGCTTTGGTGTCATGCCTGCGCATTTTCATGCGTGTGGATGCCAGAATCAAGATGCATCCATTCCGAGTCACGTATAACAGTGCTTCAGCTCACGCTAATAACGAAGAATCCCCATTAAAAAAATATACCCGCGATTTATCAGAGGCAAGGGAATGCGAGCTTACGCTATCTTCTGAACAAGTGCAATGCTCTGAATATTAATCCGCGTCAGTCACAGGGGTAGTCTTTCGGAGCAGTAAATATACCGAAAGATTATAAATACTACTGTCTGGCACTTCGCCTTCTCCCCCACACTTCTTCTTTCGGGGTAATTATTTGTGACATCTTGGGGACTGTTTTGTACCTGCTAGTCTCCTTCCGCCCCCCCCCCAGCAGACATGGTTTCTTCCTCTGTTTTCCCGGTGCTGCCAGTGGTACATCCCATCCCTCTGATAGGCGTCCGAGAAAGGAAGAGGCGGCGCTGGCGGCTCTATCAGGTTTCTTCAGCAGAATCGCAGCTGCTGCAGTAAGATGGCTGCGTCTCTTAATGCCGCCGTTTCTGGGGGCGGTCCGGAGGGTGCTGTCGCCGGGATTTTCGGGCTGGGTTGGAGGGACAGCGTTCAGCACTACTATGGGTTGGCCTTGAAGAGCGCTTGGAGCGTGAGTGCGGGGACAGACGGGGCCGCTTGGGGAGCAATGAGGGACGAGGGTCGATCGTCCCTTGGCCGAGGCTAGCCTCCCGAGTTCCCCGGGTTTTGGCACTGCTTCTATCCCACGGCTTAATTTCTAGGAGCAGGAGTACGCAAAGATACTTAATCTACGTGCTACATCTTTCAACGCGCGGCCCCGGTTTTCCATATGAGACTATGGCCGTTGCTCTGAAAGGATGAGAAAATTACCCACATTCTGCTGCTGATCCTGGTTTCTGCGGTAAAGACCAGATTCAAATGAAGCCTCCGAGACTGGGGTGAAATCTCCCTGGTATCTTAAGTCCTATTCTTTCAGTAGTTGCATGAGGCAGTAATTTGGTGAAACTTCCACATCACTAAAGCTTGGCCTTAGTTATGAGTAAAGGCAGATTAATCTTGCTAGAACAATAGAAAAGTTCAGTCTGTGAAATTCTCCGTGGGTCTTTAGAATGGTGCTTGACTTTTGTTCAGATATATGTATTATCAACACCCAATAGCTTACCCAAACTGGTGGCCTTTGAAAATGAATGATGGGAACAGAAGTCCAGCACATCTGGAGGACATCAGGTTAGGCAATGCTGGGCATGATTTATAACTCTGAAACAGGTATTACAGATCAATCATTTGCACAAATGTTGATGAAACTTGGATGTTTGAATTGTGTTGAGCCTAGATAATGAGGTTCAGGTTCAAGACATTATTTGAGAGACCCTTTTCTACCCGCCCAGTGAAATTGAGCGGAGTGGTCATGCTCCAGGTCTCCTCAAACAAACAATATCATCTGTCAAGACCTAGGCAGTGTGCCTACTCTGTTGCAGTGTCTGCCTTCTGGAATAGCATCCCCCTGCTCTATGGCTCCCACCCTACAGCTTTCTGGAGGTTGTTAAACATGTGGCTCTCTGGCTTGGGGCTAGGGTGGATGCCAAGCTTTCGTTAGTCTTTGCAGGTCTGGGGTATATTTGGCTGTTTTATTCTTCTGGATGTGCATCCTTTTTATTGTTTGGGTTTTTTATATTGTGAGACTAATGCCCAGAGTCTCCAAATTGAATAGATAAAGATTTGTCTTTTAGTATAGGCTTGTGTTGAGTTCACATGAGGTGGGGATTGTAATTTACTTGGCACGAAGACTACTGTAGGAATTGCTGTGTTAATAATAAAACATTAATTAGCTATACCTGTAAAATCAGGATTCGTACATGTGTACTCTAAGATTATGTATATAGAACAAGTAAACCATATTGATTACTTCTGTGGATGATCTGTGCCAGGACCTGAATGGAGAGAATGTGATGCAACAGGGGAATTATATTACAATGGTTCCACTCCTTCCTGAGCAGGCACTTCCGATTGGCAGAAGAAAAGTTGAGCCCTTGGCCACTCTAGTTGGGGGTATCTCACAGTTCAGCCCCTTCCCTTCTTTGGAAGATCTACAGAAAACTACTGGGGGCACTCATCTGTCAGTTTGGGTTGAAGTGTCATCAGTATACCTCCACCTTGGGCCAAGCAAGAAAGTTCTAACCAAGTGCCTGGAGGCTGTGAGGAACTGGATGGGACAAACAGGCTAAAGTTGAATCTTAGCAAGATGGATTTGCTGTCTGTATAGAAGTCCTCTAGGGGGAAAGCCAGTTTGATCTAGTGGTTAAGGCTCCAGGCTAGAAACCAGGAGACTGTGAGTTCTAGTCCTGCCTTAGGCATGAAAGCTGGCTAGGTGACTTTGGGCCAGTCACTGTTTCTCGGACCTCGACATCAGGCTCAGGCAACAAGCTGGTTGGAAAATTCCTGTTGCAACCAAAAGGATCAACATTTGGTTGATCCAAAAAAAGCGGACCCTGCACCTGCAGGAAAAACCCTGGGGGGCGGGGAATAGAAGGCCTGGAGGCCCAGGTTAGTTCTTTTTATCACTCCAGATAGGTCTATACTGCCCGTGAAGGAGCAGGTGCACAATTTGGAAGTTCTTCTGATCTCACAGTACCTGCTAGATCAACAGGTGGAGGCTGTCAGAACAGCCTTTGCCTAGCTTCAGCTGCTGTGCTGAAGTCATTTCTGATTTCTGTTATTACAGTACTACAACAATGTTACTTGACAACCCTGATGAGCAATGAGACCCCCAATGTAATTACATACTGATTAGAGGCTGAATTCCACATACTGATTTCAATTATCAGCCCAATCCTTAATTTCAGGCTTCTAGCAGAATTCTGCTTTGCATCATTATAATGCTAATGAACTTTCATAGCTATGTTCTTAATTTTTATTTTCTCTATTTTCTCTATAAAGTTTTCTGAGCATCATTTCTGACAAAAGGTTGAAGTGGACTAACAGCTTAATCTGATGCATGTTTAATTGAGGGTTAATCTGATTTATTTGCTAATATTGTTCAGAATTGCCACAGTCCTTTGCATACTTATCTGTAAGCCTCATAATAGATTTATATTGGAGTAAAGAAATATTAGATCAGGTCAAATATCAGAATATGATTAAAGTCACTAATATTTGTCTTATTTGCCAGCAATTGTTCAACAAAACTTGAAATATAGAGGTTTCTGATAAGTCACTTCCAGAAAAAGAAGAAAAATAAGCATTCAAGACTGAATCAATAATCCAGTGTTTCTCAACCTCAGCAACTTTTAGCTGTGTGGACTTCAGCTCCCAGAATTCCCCAGCCAGCTTGGAAATTGAAGTCCACACAGCTTAAAGTTGCTGAGGTTGAGAAACTCTGCAATAAACTGTAAAGTTTCTTTACTAAAGATGATAATCAGCATTTATATGTGCAATTGCCTTGAATAATGTAATGCAACTATCCCTTTTTTCCCTTTCATCTTTACTATATTATGCATTTTAGTTTGGGAATATTTTATTAAATTACCAATAATTATGAATTAATATGATCAAAAATATGGAAATTATGTTAACAGTTGTACTGTCAGGCTTTAACTTTGTTTTTCTTCTTTTAAGGTTGTCTCATCACTCCCTGAAAATATGAGACCTGGTCCAGATCTCTATGGTTTTCCATGGGAAATTGTGATTTGTGGCACTATTGTTGCCATTTTTACTATCTTACTAGTATTATGTAGGAGCTATAAGTCAGTAAGTATGCAGTATGGCATTACATTGGAATGCTTTAAGATAATTCTGCTAAGCATCTAGCTAGAGTAGTTTTTTATACCATATTCCTATGCATGTTTATTTGCCAATATGTCCAGTTATGTATAGTTGAGTTTAAGACTGTAATTCTAGTTTTCTAGATAGATTCATGAGGGTGATCCTCTCTTCAGTCTGAATATACAAAGTTTATATTGGAAATATTTAAATATAAATTTGTAAAAAATCAGTTCAGTGCATTTTGAGAATTATTAGCAAATTTTATTGTCTCTGACTAAATTGCCTTTGATTTTGAAAATTTAATGGACCATAATTTGACATTTTCAAATTTAATTTAAATTTACTTATTTGTAATTGTCATTTTACAAAGTGTTCTTATGTATATAAACATTTTTCTCCTTTCTTCCTTAAATTAGCTTTTGTAAAATCTCTCTCTTGTGAAATGATTATGCAGCCCTTCCTTTCTCTTCCTATTTAAACATTTTGGTAAATGTACCCTTGTAATCTGAAGCATTATACAAATTTTGCTTTACCTTGGCTTGTACATGTTTTTCAATAATGTAATAAATAACTTTGCAACATTTCAGAATTGCCTCCATTTAGGAAATGCTTGTAATTCTGAGCCAACTTGCAAGCAAAACAAGCCTGGGTGTGAAAAATTGTATGCTTTCTTCTCTGATAAATCTGCCTTACCTTGCTTAAGGAATTTACTTTCAATGGTATCAGTATGCTTAAGACTAATCAAGTTAAAAATCTTAGCTAATTAGGTGAATGTGGTTAGCTTTAATCTTATTTCATTTCAGCTAATGCCTTAAGTATGATTGAAGAAAAAACATTCTAGGGAAAAAATGTATTATGCAACCCATTTTGGATTTCTTATCTGAATTAGTGTAAGGTCTTTATGTTATGCTTGCTGCAACCCCAAAAATCTACTTTATTTTTTGTTGATTATGCTACTAATCTTAAGAGTTAAACTTGAAAATTAACCTTCAATCTCATCTAATATTGTGAACAAATTGCAATATTTGTTCTTTTCTTTTTTTGCAGGTTAGAAGTAGACTTTATTTAGGTAAGTGAATTTATTTTCTGTAGGTCAGGCCTTGTAGATTGTATTGGAACCATTTTCTGTTAAAGATTATGACATTTAGCTCTTTCTTTTTTTAGGAAGAGAGAAGCAGCTTGCCAATAAAGTTGCTGAACTAGTTGAAGACAAATGTAAAGTATTGGAAAAACTCAGTCTCTGCAAAAAAGAGGTAACTTTAATTACTTCACAGATTAAATGTGGGCAGTCTGTGGGCTACGTGCAGCATCCCAAGATCTCACTGTCAAAACTTGTTAGCAAAAAATTTGATGATGCAAGTTAAGAGTTGAGATGGAAACAGAAACTGATTTTGGCCTGGGGAGCCTGGTGGTAGAGTTAAAAATCAGACAGTGTGATTTTCTGGATTTTTCCCCCCATTTTGTCTCTCATAGTTGAGGTATACCTATGATGAAAATTACAGGCCTCTCTCATCTTTTTAAGTGGGAGAACTTGCACAATTGGTGGCTGACTAAATACTTTTTTGCCCCACTGTAAATTCCCCCAAGCCCAAAGAACAGTTTAAAAAGAGCCCCAAAGAATCTGTCACTCTTTTCTAGTTACATCACTGTTAGGTGTCCTGCAACGAGTCAGAGCGGTAACCTGTAACCTCCAACTTAGGGGATGAGTTGCTATCTTTAGGTATGGCATAACAAACTACCCATACAGTCCTATACAGTCCTTTTGTTTATTTCAGTGAAGCGTCCTCCTTGTAAGTATGGTTAAGCTCCAGTGTGTCTGTGTACTGTGAGTTAAGATTTCTTAAACACAGGAAATCATACATTAAGAAATCTTGAAATAGGGAAGGATGATGAAATTACATCATCCTTCCCTGTAAAAACTCAATTCATACAGCAAAAGTCTAACTTTCTATAAAGAATCATTGTGCAGTAATTTTGATTAATGCTAAATCTAGATTTGCTGTGGACTTGCATTGATTGGAAAGATGAATGCTTTGGTTCAACTATGTATTGAGATCAAACGCACTGTGATTGTATTTCATGCTTCTTTTAAATGCCTAATAACGTTTCATTACTGGATTGGGAATCCTAATATAGAAAAAGGAGTTTCAACCCCTTTCTCTGTGCCCTTTGGTGTTTTTTGTCCTGGCAGCACATGTATATAACCTTTTTAGAAAGCACAAGAATTTCAATCTTTGTTTTTAGATCAAACTTAATTGATTTAAAATATTTTTATTCTATGTCTAACTCAGTTTCACTGTGAAACTTTTTTGGAAACAACATGATTTGACTTGTTTACTTCAAGTCAATTCTATGGTTCCACTGTACTGGCAGCTGTTTATAAGCTAAAGTAAAAGTGCTATATATCCATAGAGATTAACTTTTGGCTTAATTTAAAAAATGAAGGGTTTTTTTCCCCCTTTCCTTTTGTTTTCATTTCCTTTTCCTGGAAATTAGTGCTTTCTCATTTTTTTTCTTTCATGACATTTGCACAACCTCACTATGCAGGATAGCTAGGGCAACAATAAGAGCACTCTTTAATAAGTGTGTTTTCTCAGTAACAAAACTGCTGAAATGAGAAGCATACTATGCTTACAGCCAAAATGTATAATGAGTAAAGAATACCTAGTTCTCTCACAACATAAGAGTGATTGCTCTGCCATAAGGAACGAGTTAATTGACAGAAGTCAGGTTTTGCTGACCTCTTGATCCTGGGTCTTAAATAATAAAAGAGGCTTAATATTTTATATTATTTTGTCCTGCACTTAGAGGATAAGAAATAGAAGGAATTCAAGAGGGACTTTTCCTCAGATTTTGTCATCATAGTTTCTGATTGTACTTTGTCTATAATACTATCCATTTTAATAACTGAATTCTGATCCATTTATGACTCATTAAATCAATCAAATATTTTCCTGTACTTTTTATATCAAAAAGGCACATAATATCAATTTTACCTTCAGCAGTGATGTGAGAGGAGCAGTGTTCCTGAAGAATCTAGAAATAGTTAACTCTGTGATTTGAAATTTGGTTTTTATACTATATGTTTCCCTAACACTTTCATTCTTTAAAGGAAACTATGGCTTATAATTTTAATAAAGTTATTCAACGTGCACAATATCATATACTGTAAGTGCCTTGGGAATAATTGAATCTTACATATGATACACAGCCTCAGACCAGTTCTTCTGAGAATTTAGTAGAAACTGATAGTTTCTGTGCTAAATAATTTTTCATTTGTGCAGTCTCAGCTTGCTTTTGGGCCAGTCCGTGTCATTATAAAGAATTAAAACGAATTAGTTTGAACTATTGGAACAAAATGGGAAGTGCTGTTGTTGTTTCCTTTTTTTGTTTCAAACCTAATATGTTCTTATTTTAGTACGCAGAGTTAGAAAACACTCTGAAAGATGCCAGCTTTCTACAAGAGTCAATCATTGCATCAAATATTAAGGTAAAATTGGAAGAGAGAGAACTACTTGTATATAGTAGTAGTCTGGTTTCTGGTTCAAGTGTAACTCTGCAGGTTTATTCAGAAGTTCCTTGATGTTTATTTGGGCTCACAACTAAATAGATGTAAGTTGAATTCTAGTCCCATATAGTGTAGTAGTGACTGTTTATAATGCAAATATATACTAAATACTATGCTCATTATTAAAGACTCTTGATTGGGCAGAGTAGTCAGATTAAGTTTTTCTCATATAAATGTAGAATCTAGAATGTTGACAATTGTAGCATTTCTAGCAAATAAGATTGAGGAAAAGATTTGAGCCATTTCAAAAGAAATAAGAGCTTCAGCAAAAATGTATAGGCGCTCAGGAAATGGATTATTAATATTCTCTGCATAGGCTACTTTACTATAGGTTGCACAAAGAGAATCAGGCTATTAAATTAAGCATGTTTATATATAACTCTTGAGTCAACTTAGAGAATTTGATTGTAGATATTCTTGAATTAAGCTTTAGCATTTTTTATGACATGTGGTATGCAATTTAATAAATTTCATTAGGATATATTTTATTTATGAGGCTGCTCCCAATTCTTTATAATAATTAATTACAGTTAAAAGTTTTTAGTAACTACTGTGTTCTAAATCACATTACTTCTAAATGTCAGCATGTTTTTAAACTTGGTATTTTAGACAACATATGAAGAACTGAACAATTCAAACTCAGCACTCAAGAATGAAATAGAATGCTTAGAAAAAGAATTGAAAGGAGAGAAATCTAAACAATCAGAACAGGATGATTTGGTATGTCTTCCATACAAAGCACACTTTCTGAGGCAAAAAGTATGATAATACAGTTTGGCTATATATTAAAATTAATACCTTGTTCCTTACTTTTTAAAGAAGTGGATAATATCTCATAATTGAGAACCAGTTTTATACATATATAAATATATATAATATACTATCAGGTTTTGTTGTTTTCATTTCTTAATGTCTAATGATTTAAGATCAAATAACTTCTTACAACATTTTAATTTAATTGTGGGAAAGGACTTGTCAAATATTATTTCTTGATACTTGGTAGTTGAAGATTAGAAAAAAAGAAACAACAGTACAATATTTTGAATATGTTCAAATCTTCAACACAATGCTATGATTTCACAAACAGTTGATTCTGTGTATATTTTCTTGGAATTTGTTATACTCAGTGGACCTTACAGATAAGTTTATAAGATTACATATATTTGAGGATGGATGGATGGATGGATGGATGGATGGATGGATGGAT